GGGTGAATGGGGAAGGAGCAGTGGGTGGGTGGACAGTATGAATGGAAGGACGGGTGAAGGGGTGGCGGGCAAGTGGGATGGGAGGATGGGTAGGTAAAGGAGTGAATGGGTGAGTGAATCCATGGAGGATGGGTGGACAGAGGTAGATGGGTGAATGGGTGAAGGAGCAGTGGTTGGGTGGACAGGCTGACAGATATTGGATAAACAGGTGAGCAGGTGCAGGAATGGTGAGTGGATGGATGGTAGGTGGGTGGGTGGTGAAGCTCTAGGACACCTGGGCCACCCCCAAAGGCCAAGCCAGAAGCTCACCTTGCTGGCAGGAGTCGGGGCCCCAGACCGCCCGGCCTTCTTGAGGTAGGAAATCAGGGAAGGGGTTCCTGCCCGAGACTCATCGTCCGAGCTGGTGTGTGAGAGGTCAGCCTCGCCAGTGCGCGCCAGCTCATCGGCTGTGGAGTAGTCCTCGGAGAGGTCGGGGGCTGCCTCCTCCGCCTCCTGCCGCAGGCGCTGCTGGCGCCCGTCCTCCTCCGGCAGCTCGCTGATGGAGTCCAGCGTGGGCTCACGGCTCATGCGACGCTTCCGGGCCAGGGCCTCCCACAACAGGTGCAGGTCGCCCTCCTGGGCCGCCTCGGGAGGGAGGCTGGGCTGCACGGGGGCCTCGCCCTCTGAGCCTGGGGTCAGCCTCACTGAGGAGGGCAGCAGGTGGTCAGCCAACGTGGCCTGGGCCAGCAGCCTCCCCTCACTGGACGCTGGCTCCCCTGCTTGGGCCGTTAGACAGCCCTGGACGCCACAACCTGAACCTACGAAGTGTCAGAGGCCTGCGACTGCCCTCTCCAACCTCAGACTCCCAAACGAGGCTTCACTCGGGCCCCCGGGTGGGGAAAGGGCCCCGCCAAGTCACAAGCTGCAAACCCCTTAGCCCTTCCTGGCTCTGCTGAGACGCAAGGCCTGGAGGGTGCACAGCCTGGAGCTCCGGGGCCAGCCCGCTCCCCATCCGCCAGCCTCTCACTGTGTTCACCCATCTCCCGGATAACTCTCACTCACAGACATGCCACCTCCTCTAGGAAGCCTCCCTGGGTCTCCCGCACACACGGTCCTGCAAGCCCGTTACAGGGCTCATCACACCGAGGGCTGCCTGGGGTGAGCCCCTCTTCCAGGTCACACTGAGCATTGCTGACTTAATGAAATTCATGAGCAGAAATGCAGGGTCCCCAACACCCCCACGCAACAAGGCAGGAGGAGAGAGACAGGCCAGGCCTGTTCTAAAACCCGGCCCTCAAAGCAACCCTGGGAAAGCAGGCTAACTACCGTATTTTTCACAAATAACGCGCCCACGTGAGTAGCGCGTCCACATATATAACACTCATCACACACATACGAAAATACTGCGCGAGGGGATTGCACGTTTGGCAAAAAAACATGTAACGTCCACGTTATTTGTGTAAAAACACGGTGGCGCTGCCCCTTGTTACAGACGAGAAACGGGGCCAGCGAGCTTAGGTCCCAGGTCACACAGCCCGCAGGAGGGAGGCCAGGGCTGGGACTGCAGCTGCATCAGCCTGCCTGCTCTGACCGCTGCCTTCTGCTGAAGGCCCTGGAGGAAGCCGCCTTCGTGAAGTATGGTGGCCAGGGTCGGGGACTGCAGGGAGGCTGAAGGGGACCTGCTGTGGTGGGGTCCAGACCCTGGACACCAAGGACGAGGGGCATGAGATTGGGGATGAGAACTGCGGAGTCTGACAGAACGCCCCCAGCCTCAGTCTCCCTTCCCTGGGATAGCTGGTGCCAAGAGGGGCCAGGGCCACCCCTGATGTCCCAGAGTTCCCCACTCCCGGGAGGCTGCCCCACCCCCAGCCCCTGCAGGACGCACCCTGGAAGGTGGCAGCAGCCATGGGGGCCTGGTCGCGGGCTGGAACGCAGCGGTACTCGCCCTGGTCCTCCAGCGTGAAACCTCTGATGACCAGTGTCTGCCGCCGGCCCTGGGTGATGACCTCACAGCGGCCACCGGGCTGGATGTACTCTGTCCCTTTCTGCCAGGCGACCTCGCCAACCTCAGCCGTCACCTCGCACTCCAGATGCACGTCCTCGCCAGCTGCCACTTCCCGGCTCACGGAAGGCAGGGGTGCAGGCGCGGGCTCCAGGGGCTCTGTGGGGAGCAGCATCCATGTACAGAGAACAGCACGCGTCAGCAAGGATGCGCCTTGGGGCCTAGACCCTCCTTGGAGCTCACAGGGGCCCCTACTAATGGCGGAGCCTCCTCGGGACTCGCAGTGGGGACTCGCCAGCAGCGGGAGGCTTCAACCTCTCAGCAAGCAGTCCCCTGCAGCCTCCAGGCCTAACTACCACCCCGTTATCATGAGACAACAGGGCCCAGGGCAGGGGGTTAGGACCCGGATGGGAACTGGCCCCGGCAAAGCCAGGGTGAGAGCGGGCACTGGGACCCAGGACGGGCGGCTGCCTGGCCCCCTTGAAGGCAGGGCAGTGACTCACCGAGCTTCACCATCTGGGGCAGGTGGACAGGCTCCCCGGCACCCGCAGGGCCCACGGCCGCAACACGGAAGCGGTATGTCTCCCCAGGGGCCAGGCCGTCCACCACACATTCGGGCCCTGGCACCAGCTCGTGGCACAGCTGCCACTCTCCCATGGCTGCTGACTTCATCTCTACCCGATAGCCACAGAGGCCACCGCCACCGTCACTGGCTGGGGCCACCCAGGACAGGGTCACAGAGTGGCCGCTCCGGCCTACGACTTCCGCGTCCTCGGGAGGGTCGGGGAGGCCTGCAGGCCAGGTGTCCAGTGAGCGCATGAATGGATTAAAGACAGCAGCCCACGCGCCCACCCACAGACAGCCCCCTCCAGCTGAACCCGGGGTCTCATCCTGAGGGTCTGGGGTCAGGTGGGGCCAGCTGCCCAGTGGCCTGTGTGCCTCTGTCTGGTTCTCTGGCCTGTGCCAGGCCCACCAGAGCCCAAGGAGGCAGAGGCAGGCAGTGTCCTCCTGCAGCATCCACGTGCAGCTCGTGTGTCTGAGCCCACCCCAGGGCAGGGGGTCCAAGAACCGCTGGCAGCCTGGGGGCAGTGTGCAGCATGATTGAGGCCACCAGGACCTGCCTGGCCCCTGCAGGGCTCTGCTCCAGGGGTCAAGAAGGAGGAGATGGGTGGAGTCACCAGGGCCACCCTCAGGAGCATCGGCAGGCTCGTGCAGACCGAGAAGCCCCAACCGAAGTGCAGCGGGGCCCAGCCAGCAGCACCTCTCCCAGGGGTGCCATCCCCACATGACGTCACCACGCTTACAGGCTCAGGACCCTCAGGACTGGCTGAGGTGCCTGGGTAGGTGGAACACCTGAGGACGGCCCATCCTGCCTGCAGCCCCCGTCTCCCTGTGAAGCCAGGATGTTGAGGCAGCTGCACCCCCAGCCACCCTGACTTCTTGGGCTCCAGCTCACTTCCCACCTCAGGAAACAGGCCTTGTTCCAGGGCCCAGAGACCCCTCGGGGGTACTCAGAGGAGGCCCCGGGGGCTCTGCCTGGGCCCAAGTAGAGGGAGCTTGTCTCAAGACCAGGGACCCAGCAGGAGCCAACAGTGCCCACCATGGAGACCAGGGTCACTTTGGGGCATGGCCAACTGTGGCCCAAGGCCTCAGCAACAGGGTCAAGCTGCTCTTCGGTCTGGGCAGGTCAGGACAACCCAACAAGGGCACCCAGGGTGCCAGCCCCCACCCCAGGACTCAGTTGTGTCCCCCGAGAGCATCTGAGGCTGGGGTGTGCTGAGACCCCGCCTTCAGGACAGCCCCCATGAGCTACCCACCCAGCACGGTGAGTCGGGCAGAGGCGACCGCGTCGCGAGCAGCGAAGGTGACCTCCCCAGCGTGGTGGGGCTGGGCGCTTTGCAGCAACAGGGCATGGTGGCTGCCGTCGGTGGTGACTGTCCAGTCGGTGTCCTCCGGCAGGACGGTGGCACCGTTGATGTACCAGGAAGCCTCGCCCACAGGCACCGCCTCGCTGAGCGTGCAGTGGAAGGTGGCCTGCCCGCCGGCCCGCACTGTCACATCCTGTGGGGGCTCCAGGAGCTGAAGGCGCCAGCCTGTGGACACACGAGCCAGGGGGGTCGCCCAGGCCACAAGGCGAGGCGGGCCTAGCAGGCATGCGTCCCCTCCCTGAGGGCCTCAGACGATGCCCCCCACCCCGCAGAGCAGGTGGGCCCAGCCACGCAGAGTCACCTCTGACTGTGAGGAACGCCGAGGTCACCACGTCCCCAACCAGGAAGGTCACTCGGCAGCTGTCCTGCACCCGCAGGTTTTTGAGCAGGAGCAAGTGTCGCAAACCGTTCTCGAAGTAGACCACCTCTGCGTCCTCCGAGGTGCGGACCGGCTCGTCGTCCAGCAGCCAGCTGTGGGCGGCCACCTCTGGCTGGGACAGCTGGCACTCAAACAGGGCCTCTCCGCCCTCCAGCGCCTCCACGTTCTCCAGGCCTCGCACCACGGTGTTTTTGGCTATGAAGGGGGGACACAGCTCAGGGCCCGTGCCGGCTCCTCCACCAGCTGGGGGCAGTCGGTACCCAGGTTCCCCTGGAGCAGCCCAAGCTGTGACCTCTGTGGCCACACGTGGCCTGCAGCGCGATCCTGCAGGAGGTGTCCCCACCACAGGGTGAGAAACGGACACTCAGACCCCGGTGTGGGCCCCCCAGCTGCCTCCTAGCCCACACACGCCCACCCTGTGCTGCCCTGCAGTCTGGGGCCTGTGGTGTGATCCTGTAGGGGTGTTCCCACCGCAGGGTGAGAAACAGACTCTCAGACCCCCCGGCGTGGGCCCCTGAGCTGCCTCCCAGCCCACAAACGCCCACCCTGCAGTCTGGGTCCAGACAACGGCACGCTCCCCTCATCGCTGCCACAGCTCCCGGAAGGTCAACGCACTCTAGCGCAAACCACAGCCACGGAGCCGCACACCCCCTCTAACTCTCTCCTATGTACAATCACAAGTCTTCAGAGCAGCCACACACGGGCAGATGGTGTGCGGATGGCCGTCTCTGGGGCCTCTGGAGTCCAAGCACAGTGCCCTGGCAGGTGGGGCAGCGGGGGCCTTCCTGCAGGTGGTGGGCCATCGAGGAACGCGCGTAATCAACCCGCCCCAGGGAGCAGAGTCAGCTCTGGAGAGGGGGATCCCGGTGGGCACTGCCAACCAAGGGGCCACAGCACGCAGAGCCCTCAACTGCATCCCAGAGCACCCCTTTAGGTGGGGGGACCCCAGGTACCAGACCCCTTGTCCATCCCCCTTCCTCCTGACCAGCTTCCTCCTCTCCACTGACCGGAATTACACCATCACCACGCATGCTAGGAAATGTCGTGGGCCAGACAGATGTAAGGCTGCTCTCGGCAGGGACAATGGGCAACGGCAGGTGTAAGCAGGCCAAGTGGGCAGAGCTGAAATCACATCTGTCTCAGGTCCTGCATCACTCTTGCTTGCTTCAGTACAGCCCAAGGTCTCAAAGCTGCAGCTGACCCCACGCCTCCTGCCCCTGCCCTCACCGTCTCCACAGACATCTTGTCACTTCTCTGCTGAAGACCGCCAGTAACCCCGCTCCTCACTAGGACTGAAAAGCCCAGACCCTGCAGTGGCCACGAGCCCCTTGCCCTGCCCTGCGTGCAAAAGCTCGCTGACCGCTGGCCCTGGTCTCACGTCTTCGCACGGTCCTTCCCCAGATTTCCAAGTGTCTCAGCCCTCACTGCCCTCAGGCCCCTGCTTAGATGCTACTGTCTGGGCGGGGGGCGGGGGGGGGGGCTTCCTGTCCATCCTATCAACCTGCAGCCCCTCCCACCCTGCAGTCCCAGGGAGGTGGCCAGTGGCCTGGATCTGGTCCCCCCCTTGCTCACTCCAGCTTGGGTGACAACTGCCTCTGCCCTCCAGCTCACCCACCTGGACAGCTTCAGGCTTCTGCAAACAGACAAGACTGCAGATAAATGAAATCTGCCACAGGGGCTGGGTGGGGTCCACAGCCCCACCTCACCCCCGCAAGGGGTATCATCACCGAGCTACAGATGCGGACGACCTGCCCGGGAAGGAGCAGTGCTGGGCTGTGAAACCAGGATCGCAGCTCTCAGCGGCGTCCTCTGCTCCAGGGCACAGCCTCACCCAGGTGTTCCTCCCACTGCCCCAGGCTTCCTCGTCTGCCTGCCTCTCCTCCCAAGGCCCTCATCTGCCTCCTCCCAGAGGTTCTCTCAGCTGTTTTGGACGCAGGGCCTTTGGGAGCAACCTCTGCCCAGGAGCTATCCTGCCCGCACCCCATTCTAGAGGCTGGAGTGGTGGAGGAGAGCAGGGGTGCAGGAGGGGTGGGCGCAGGTGTCCTGGCGCAGCCAAAGCAAAAGCCCCTGCTGTGATCGTGCTCACATCTCTACCATCTCATGACGTCTCTGACGTCTCACTCATCTGGGGTCTGCCTTTTGTCCCCCATCATACTGGAAGACTCACTGCCTCCTGGCTGTCCCTGCCTGCCGTCCCCCCATCCTAGCACAGCCCGAGCCTCACCAGGTCCTGGCTGTCCCTG